CGTGTGTGTGTGTGTGTGTGTGTGTGTGTGTGCATGCGCGCGTGCGTGTGTCCAACGTAGGGCGAAGTCGCAGTCGAGCATAGCAGCGTAGAAGTCAGTCGAAGTCGAGTGCTGTGGCCTACGGAAGGGTATGAAAAGTCAAAGTCGATTGGAGGGCAGGCGTGGTGTAGGGCCATGCGGTTTTTCCCGCACCGCCTCCCAAAATTGGTAAAAGTTTGTTACGTGTGGCCGCTTGGCGCTGGCCCGGCAACATTCGACAGTACCGGTGCTAGCGCGGCCCGGTACCAAGCATGGCGCTAGCACCCCGGTACCAAGCGTGGTGCCGGCACTGGCGTGCAGGACCGGTACTGGCCCTGGCGATGGTTCAACTTCTAAGAAAAACGATCAGCAGACGATCGGGACCGTCGCACAGCAAAATATCGGAGGGCCCCGATCGTCCGCTTGTCACAGCAGGAACTTAGCGATAGTTATATATGTAGTGACAACGTTTGCCATGTTCAAATTCGTAGCCAAAAACTCGAGTTAAAAAATAAAAGAACCTTTAAAATAATCATTATTATTATTCTTTTTTTTTATCATGAAAAAATATATGTTCGACCGAACACGTTAGGGAGGCGTTCGGGCTTTCCGGAAAGCCCCGAACATGTTCCGTGTGCTACACAGCATGAAAGCAAATAAATTTAATAAATTGAAATAATGGAATTATAATTCTGAATTACTTGGTCCCGGTCAGTTCCAAAATGAGATCTCAAGGCCGTCGTCGTCCTCTAAAAGAAGAGAAGAAGAGAAAAATGGGCAAACAGGAGTTCTGGACCCTCTCAACAAAATATCAGTAGGAGTCCAGGAGTCAGGACCCTTCCAAGAAAGAAGAAAAGGGGGCGACTCTTAAAAAAAAAAAAAAAAAAAAAAAGGTTGGGGTCCAGGACGTGTTTGAAAACAGCAAATAGGAGCCCAGGACCCTTTAAAAAAACTAAGAGGGGTCCAAGGGGGGTTCAGGGCTCTTTAAAAATACAAAAAGAAAAAGGAGTCCCCCCCAAACCTTTCGCACACAGATGCTTGGGAAGTCAAGCAGTACGATGACACGTGGGAAAGCAGCAGCCCTCTTCACCCAAATAGAATGTCCGGTCATTATAGCTGTATTTGGGACACCTTTCAGTCTAGAGAGAGCGATAAAGACTGGGGGGTTCTATTTGGGTGAAGAAGGTGGGCATACAAGGGGAGATAAGCAAGAAAGGTGTGCGGGCAGCTGCCACCGTCTTCCCGTGAACATAACGCAATATGCGTTGCAAACGAATACAACGCATAAATGTTTCTATTCAAATACAACGCACATGCGTTCTATTCGCACAGCCCTTATATATTTGAATACAACGCATACGCGTTCGATGATAATAATCGTTTTTCTTTTTCTTTTCAATAACTGGAATAAAACAGATCGGCATTATGCTCGTGGGAAGGCGGGAGCCATGCAAGGGGGGGGACAAGGAGGAAAGTTGGCAGGCCGTAGCTACCTTCTTCCCCTGAATAGAACGTACGGTCATTTTTGCTGCATCTGGACAGAAAGATGAGCCAAGTACGGTTATCATGCTGTACATTCTATTCGGGGGAAGACGGTAGACATACAAGGGCGGACAAGCAGGAAAGTTGGGAGGTAGCAGCTAGGCCATACAAGGAGACAGGCAGGAAATATGGGAGGTGGGAGCTAGGCATACAAGGGTGCGAGAGAAGTTGGAAGGCAGCAGCTAGGCATAACAAGTGGACAATGGGAGGTGCCAGCTAAGCAGACAAGGGGTACAATCGGGAAAGCTTTGAGGTAGCAGCAACTAGGAATACTGGACATGGCCTCCATTTCCCGGAAAAAAGCTTCTAAATTTGATTTTTTTGTACATTGAGTGTTCAACTGTACCCCAAAAAGGGAGGAGTGCTTTTCTTTGCAGTGGACTCGCAAAAGGGCTTCACAAAAAAAAAAAAAAAGAAGAAGAAGAAGAGAAAAGTGGCACATAAGAAGGGGCAAGGGGACAAGCAGGTGTAATGACATGCAAGATCACAGACTCAGAACTCTGCTGATTTCTGAGTTTTGCCGCTGGATTGTGTGACTTTTGCTGCGATTCCTTCTTTCTACTGAGATTTTTAAGTCTGTGTGTTGTGTGTGTGTGTGTGTGTGTGTGTGTGTGTGTGTGTGTGTGTGTGTGTGTGTGTGTGTGTGGCATACTGCATAGCCACACGGGCCCTGCAGGGCCCGTCCCGGACATTCAGCCT